TGACCGAAGGGTCCGGTGAGGGCCCCAGAAGCAGAGCCTCTCCCCTCTCTAGCCTGTCTGCTGCCACACTGACCTAAACAATGGATGTGATTGTATCATTCCCATGCCGAAGAATTTCAAAGTCTCCCTGTCTTTTCTAGAAAGATCTGAGCTCCTTAGACTAGCAAATAAAGTGTTCTACAATCTGGCCCCATCTACCTTCTTTGTCCAGGTTCCTTGACCCTCTACATTAGCCAGTGTGAATAATAATAGTGCAACAACAACAACAGCTTACACTTACATGCTGTTGATACGTGCCTGGCAGTGTCCTAAGAGCTTTATAGATATTATTAGCTCATTTTTAAAGCACTAAAAGTTTTACACTTCCCAGGACGAACTATATCCTCTCTTGCCTTCAGAACTCTCCACTCACAGTTTTCTTGTCCTGCCAGCCATCTGATATATATTTATTGACCATCAACTTGTGTCAGGCACTATACTAAGTGACACATAGCGCCTAGGTCTAGCGCAGGAGACAGACACACAAAGAGTTGATAACGTAAATGCAGTGACAGAGATGTGATGGGCGCACAGGGAAGGAGCCTCTAATGTAGCCCGGCATCTGCCCCACCTGACCAGCCGGAGCTTTACTCTTCCAAGAAGCCTTCCTGATTTTACCAGGCTGGGTGAGGTCCCTCTTCTGAGCTTCTGCAAGTCCCTTCTCTGCCCATGTTACACAGTGACCAGTGTGTATGGGAAGTGACTCTGTGGCTGTCCCCTCCTTAGTACAGTGGAGGCAGAGAACAATCTGACTCATCACTTACCCACACCCAGAATGGTCTGCACACAGATCTTTAGGATTTGCTGAATGGAAGCTCTTGAGGAATGAAGAGTCACAAGGAGGGCTATCCTTCTTCTGGGTCATTCCCTGATGCTCTTCCCAGAGTCAGGCGATGTCTTCCTTTTGAAGCTGGCTGGGCTGCTCGGCCCAGAAGGCTTGCCTCCGCAGGAGTCAGGCCCTTCAGATAAGGTTGGGGCTGCTGTTGCCATCCCTAGTTCAGGAGCAGCCTGGTTAGAAAGACCACACCAGAGTGCTCCCCAGCCAGTTTGGAACTGTCTACCCCAGGCTTCTGAGGAAGGGGCAGTATCTGGGGAAGCTCTAGTTGTGGGGGTAAGAGGAAGGGGTCCTGCAGCAGCCCTCAGAGTCCCTGGGTGGCAGAGGTGGGGTGGGGGTATCTCTGAGATTTCCTTTGGTTCCTGAGCCCTTTCTGCAGCCTTTGGGCTATGAGATAAGTAGATGATGTGATGGAGGACTTCGGGAATAAACAATGATGCAGCAGTGTCAAACTAGAGGTGTTTGAGAAATATTCCAGAAAGCCTTAAGGGGTCTGGCATCAGCTCAGTCTGGCCCTTTGTCGGACCCTTGCTGGATTAACATAGCCCTTTTGTCCCAGAGCTCCAGAGGGGCTACAAATCTCAGGGTAAGGAGCTGAACCGACTTTCAGACTAAGACCCCACTCCCTGGCACAGTGGCTGAGGAGCTCTGGCCTCAACCCTCTGCTCCTTGCCATGATGTGCATCTTGGCTGTGGTGCCTTTGTGGGGGTGGGGCTGGGGGCAGGGAGCCTTGGGGGCTAACAGCTTTGCACAGGGTGGGAATTTCCAGCCCTATCTAGGGAGCCATCAGTGCTGTGTGCCCTGACCTGGGCCTTTGGCCTCCAAAGGGCAGTGGGAAGGCCAGCCCCAGGGCCAATCCCTGGCCATTAATCCCTCCTGCCAGTCCAAATATCCACCCAGCATGGTCAGACAAAGGACTGCCCAGTCCAGCCTCTGTGTTCCTCCTGCCCCAGGGGCTCCACTCAGACACTGGGCCGCCTGGAATTTGGGCCCATGAGAAAGGGGCTGCCTTCACTGGTCGTCTTATGCCCGGATGCTCAGCCACATCCCGTCCGGCCCAGGGCCTATGAAAAGAGGGCCCAGCCACGCTGAAAACACGGATTAGCCCTTGGGCTACCCCTGACACTGGCCTGCTCGGCTCTGGGAAGCAGGCCCATTGGAAGGGGCCAGGCAGGCACCGAGAATTGATAAAGTCTGGGTTCCCACCCCTCTGACCCAGCTCCCTGCCTCCACTCACCCCAGGATTAGCACAGCCAAATGCACGCTCAGTATCATTTATTGACCATATACTATGCCCCAGGCTTTGTCCATGAAACAGAAAATTAAGAGTACAAGAAAATTGAAGTCTGATATGGAGATAAGAAGAGCTGTTGTCCCCCCACTCCTAATTTGGAGGTGTGAGACAGGCTGCGGTAGGGGGCTTCAGAGGGGACTTCAGCCCTGGGGAAGGTGGGAAAGGTGGTAGCTCCTGTTCTGTGCCTGAGTCTAACTGCAGCATTACGCTGCACCCATGTGACAATATGCAGGCTCTGAAATCACTTCTCTGGCTCTGCCTCTCTCCTTCATCCCCTGGTTTAATTCTGGATTTCCTATTACCAAGTGCAGTGTGGGCCAGGACCTTTCATACATGATCTCGTGTAAACCTCGTAACAATGCTGAGGGTTCATTACTGTCCCCATTTGGCAGGTGAGGAAACTGAGGCTCAAATGAGCAACTGGTGCCTGGTTACTCAGCTCTGGGAGCAGCATCCCATTGCTGCAGTTGCTTGTCTTGCCTTCTTTGGTGAGCTGTTTGTTGTGACAGCACTGCCTTGTGTTCCGTATGACCTGTGCTCAGGCAGTGGTATGCAAGGTGGGGAGGGTGTGGGGTGGGACCTGTTCATGTATAAGCCAGCTGACTCTTCACAGTTGTGGCATGGAGGATTGTCTTTAGATCTTTGAGTTTCATTTCCTTCCTCTGCTTCTACAGTTCCCTCTACCCACTCCACCCACTTGTCTCATAGCCGTAACTGTCTGTGTCCCTCTCTCCACCAGACTGTATCTTCATCTCTGTCTTTCCTGAATGCTGGCAAAGGGACTGGTGCAGAAGTGCTTGAGGAATGATGTGGGCTAAGCTGAGGCAGGAGAACTGAAGGAGGGATGGATTTGGAATCCATGTGGTTGATGGGACTTGCAGATTGCTTGGATATAGGAGTGATTGGGGAAGGAGGAGCCCAAGATGATGGCCGTATTTCTGATCTGGGTGGTGAGGGGCAAGGAGTCCATTTGCTGAGATCTGGATGCAGGAAGGAGAGCAGGTTGAGGGTGGGGGTTATGCGAGGTTGAGAGTGATGTGCAGTGGATACTTGGAATACGCTGACCTGGAGGTCAGGACAGAGGCTAGGCATCAACTTGGCAACTAAAATTGTGAGGGCTGGAAGAACTCTATAGTGAATTATTTCTAAAGTCTGAGATTTAAAATATGATGTTTTTACAAGAGCCATGGTGCTGGGCTCTGGGGTTCCTTCCAGCTCTGCTACTAGCTGTGTGAGAACAGGTAAGACACTCAACCTCTCAGGGGTAACAGTGCCTACCACACAAGGTGTTCACACTTCAGTGAGATAATGGGTGTAACATGTTTACCACATACAAAATGCTCAGTGATGGTGGCTGTTAGATTATCAGCTGAGACTGGAGCTGAGAGGGTGGGGGCCTTGAACTTCAAGTGTGAATACTGAAGCCCTAGACCACAGGCCCACTATACCTGGGGGCCAGAACTAGGATGAGGCACCTGGGGGTCCAAATTTAAGGAGGCTGGCTCCCAAGTACTGACCTGGCACTCACACCACCCTGAGAATGAGTACCCCCTTTAAATTTGCCTTGGGAATGCCACTTGCCTGTCATGCCCCCAGCCCTGCTCCCTTGATCTTGCCTGTACCCAAGACAAAAACCTCCTTAAGACAAGAGGTTTTATCCTCCTTTATCCTTTGGTTTCCTCCAAGCCAGGGCTGTCTCTCCTGTCACTTTAGAGGGCTTTCCTGAAATAAGCTCTGGATGCTGGTGGTGGATAGCACTTCCCAGAGTGAGTTTTTAATAAAAACTTCTAAGACACCCCTCCCTTTAGCCCCACTGAGATTGAGAGTAGCACTTCTGTGCCAGTAAGCAGCTCTCTCAGACCTCCAGTCTGTGGAAGCACTTGGGGGTCTTTCCCTGAGCAGTAACTGCCCCTTGGAACTTTGGGCTGTGCAGGCCTGTGTTCTGTGCAACTTCCCACTGTGCAAACTGTGTGTGCCAGCAAGGGAGCCCTTTTTCTGAAACCGAAGGGACATGGAGAAGAGGCAGCCAGAAAGGCAACTCCAAGTTAAGGATTTTCCGGACTCTTAATTTAAAGCAGTCAATCTTCCACCACTTTTCAAAGGACACCGACAAATGTCCTGGATGGGGCCAGGGTTGTGGGGGAGATGGGGCAGAGAGGAGATGGTGACTGTGGACCCACCAAACATCCTCCCCTGAGACAAAGCCAGCTTCTTCGCTCTACCCTTCTCCATTGCCAAATGTCTGAGTGTGGGCCTCACACTGCCCTGGCCAGCACTGCGTTAAGACGGTGAAGGCTGGCAGGGTGGCATGGGGGGCTCTCATCTCTACCCCAGTGGGGGTTGGAGGGCACGGAGGAGGCTAGAAGGATGGCGGGGACAGGTTTCAACTGGAAAAAGTGTAATGGGGAGGGGCCCAGAGAGTGGGCTGAATGGGTGGATTTGTGATTGGCACTGACTCAAAAAGGGAGTAGGTTTAGGGAGATGGTGGGAAAGGAAAGGGAGCTGATGAATTCGGTGGAACTGACGAGTCGCCAGGGCCAGGGACTGATCCGTGGGATATGGGGAAGGGATGAGTCTGGGTCTGGGAAAGAATGACCCAAAGGGAGGAAACCAAAGGAGGGGCAAAATGTAGCACAGGGTACTGGGAGCCTGGCAAGTGGACAGGGAAAGCAAAGTAGGGAGGGAGACGCGGGCCGGGGGACTGCGGAGACTTTAGGTCAGGGGGCGGGGGAGGGGAGCTGTGTCCATATAAGGCGGGCCTGCGGCCCCTGCTCTCCCGGAGCAGCGCAGCGCCGGCCGGGGCTGCCCGTCCCGAAACCGGGCCCGGTGAGATGGAGTCCGCCACCGCCTTCTCGGGCTTCCCGGCCCTGCCCTCTGTCGCGGCGTCGGGGCCACCGCCGTCGCCGCTCGCCGGAGCCGAGCCCGGGCCGGAGCCCGAGGACGGGGCCGCGGGCCGCGGGGAGCCGGAGCCCCCGCCCGGCGCGGGGGGGCGGCGGCGCCGGCGGCCCCTGCAGCGCGGGAAGCCGCCCTACTCGTACATCGCGCTCATCGCCATGGCCCTGGCGCACGCCCCGGGCCGCCGCCTCACGCTGGCCGCCATCTACCGCTTCATCACCGAGCGCTTCGCCTTCTACCGCGACAGCCCGCGCAAGTGGCAGAACAGCATCCGCCACAACCTCACGCTCAACGACTGCTTCGTCAAGGTGCCCCGCGAGCCGGGCAACCCGGGCAAGGGCAACTACTGGACGCTGGACCCGGCGGCCGCCGACATGTTCGACAACGGCAGCTTCCTGCGGCGCCGCAAGCGCTTCAAGCGCGCGGAGCCGCCCGCGCCCGCGCTCAACCCCCCGGGGCCCGCCGCGGGCGCGCCGCCCGGCCCCTTCGCGCCCTTCCCGCCGGGCCCCGGGCTGCTCGCGCCGCTCCCGGTCGCCCCCGGGCCCGCGCCGCCCGCGCGCCTCTTCAGCGTCGACAGCCTGGTGAGCCTGCCGCCCGAGCTGGCGGGGCTGGCGGCCCCCGAGCCGCCCTGCTGCGCCGCGCTCGACGCCGCCTTCCCGCTCTGCGCGGCCGCCGCCTCCCCGCCGCTCTACGAGCCAGCCCCCGACCGCCTGGGGCTGCCCCCGGGCGCCCCCGGCCCCGGCCCGCTTCCCGCCGAGCCGCTGCTGGCCTTGGGGGTGCCGCCGGGCGCGCTCGGCCCGCTCGGCCCGGGGGAGCCCTACCTGAAGCAGCCTGGCTACACGCCCGGGTTGGAGCGCTACTTGTGAGCCCTTCCCCACCGACTGGGGCCACCTGGAGGTCCTCTCACCCCCAGGACTGGGGTGCTGCCTGGGAGGGGCCCCCTTCCCCTCTTGGCTTGGGTCCACCTCTGAGCTCCCCATCTTTGCCTCTTGGACCGAGCACACCTGTTACCTCTTTCTCTGTATCCCATCTATGGGGAGAATCCCACAATCGGACTGACTGCCCCTCACATCCCCCCAATATGTGAGCCCCTCCTTTCTTCTTACACTGTGAGTCCCACTAAGCGCCCCCCCCCCTCGCCGGCGCCCCCGCCCTCACCGCGCGCTGTTGTTGGTGCCGGGTCCCTGAGCTGGATCACTACCCACGAACCTCCACCGCAGGTTTCTGGTGAATTCCAAGCGTTCAGAAGCCAGGCCTTCCTTCCATCTCAAGCTGCCTCCAGGACTGGCTCCTTACCTAAACATTCCCTCCAGATTTTATACTACATTAGAGGTCAAACTCCTGGGTTCGTGACTCCCTGGCTCTCTTCCTTCGTTTCCCACAAGTTTATCCCCAACGCCACTTACCTGCCTGTCCTCAGTTTCTTACTGGGAGAGTGCTGCTCCCTTCTACACAGACACATCTGGCTGCGTGGTTTCTGGCCCTGAGGCCAGTTCTGAGACGAGCAGCACCAGGGGCTCCTGACTGAAAAGGAGTTAGTAGGTTACCCACTATCTGGAAGATTTAGGACTGACTCATTAGGTTATTTTTTTTTTAATTAAAGTTGGTCTGATTAAAAAGAAGGAAAGGTTTCTCTTGGGCTCAGTGTGCTGGCTCGTGCCTGGCGGGGAGTGGCCTGGGGAGATAGTGGGTGAGCTTTGTTCAGGGTCTTTGGTTGTCACACAGTGTGAGCCCCTTGTGGGTCATCAGCTCATGAAGTAAGATTAGGATGGGATGGACCATAGCTGTGCCCCTAGTAAGCCCAGAAAATGCCACCACTTGCTGCACCCTCAGAGGCTGGCAGAGATGAAATGTGTGTGCACATGAGAGCATTTGGGCCTGTGGGTTTTTGGCTGTGTGTGATTACTTCCAGCTTCCATGGGTAAGGGAGCAGTGACCACTCCTACAACTACTTATTGAATGTGCTAGGCTTTGGGAATAGAGGCATCATGAAACAAATGGGCAAGATCCCTGGCTTATGGTGGCTAGGGACCAAAGAGGACGAGACATTGCCAGTCACTCAGAGAAATGAGATAGGTGCTCCATAGCCTTGGACTCGAAGTGCCGTCCACGGACCCTCACCTTATTAGATACACACAGTCTCAGGCTCCCCTTCAGACCCATGGAATCATCAGATTCTGCATCTGAACAGAATTTGCTGGTGATTAGCATACAGTATTCTGGAGAAATGGCACTGGGTGTAAAGCTCCCTATTTAAAGAGTTGGGGCCAGTCTGCAGAACCGCACACACCCTTCCGCACTAGTGGAGCTATGGCACTGCACCAACAGCTATGCCCCTCGTCTTTAAATTGGGAGCTGGGACAGCACGGACGGACCTGAGCTGATTCACAACTGTCCCCAGCACCAAGGACAGGGCAGCAGTGAGCGGAGACTCAGGTTGCTGTGTGAGGGAGGATAGGGCTCTTGATCCTATCCAGCTCTCTCTGGTGCTGACCCAAATGCTAAGCATAAGGCTTTCCCAACTCCTCTGCCCCAGGCCCCCTAGTCTAGTAGGCTCTAGATTAGATGTGGAAAAAGCGGGGAGGGGATCAGTGTGCCCTGAGCCCTGAATAAGTGTGATTTGCACATTGGGCATGTCTGATGCACATCTCTTAGATATGAGTTTAAAGCTCTGGGTGGTGAGGCAGGTGAGGGTGGAAAGCTGGCCGCTCATGGAAAGGAAGGGTGCAGGACACCTGAGAAGGTGGGGAGGCTGTCTTTGGAGGTGGGACAGTAGGTCTGCACAGTCTGGTATGAAACACCCTGGTTAGACTCCCCAGCTGTTAACCCCTTTGAACAAGAGTCAGAATGCATTTGCCTGATGCATAACAGCTCATCGCTTAATGTTTGTTGAATGATTGGCTGAGTGAATCCCTACTGTCTATTGTGTCTGACTTACTGAATAATGGCTGGGTTGACAGTACTTTGGCACATTCTTATCCATTCTCACTTGTGACTGGCAAAAGAGGTGGAGGTGGAGGCTATTTCCCCATTGGTCTGATGAGAAAATTGCCCCTCTCTGGGGCCCAGCAAGTAGCAAAGATTCCATCTGGTTCTCTAAGGAGTACAGCTCCATGAAGATCAAAATGCAAACTTTTTTTCTGCTTCAAATGGTGTTACAGCCTCTCCTCCTGCCTCAAAGCACCTCTTGATAAACTTCCAAATTCAACAAATTTCCAGGGAAGGAGAGGATGCTTCACACTCTACTGAAGCCAGGAAGTACTCCTCGAACTCTGAATTTCATTCTTCCCACCACCCTGGAGGTCTCTGTCCCTGGAATCCTGGAACAAGGAGATGGTGGTGGGAAGTGTCTGCATGGAAATACTAGGGAGGTCACTGCTGAACTGCAAAGTCAGAAAGATTTTATTTTGAAATGCCTCTTTAATTTTCCTTCATTCAGCAGCATGGAGGGCTCGCTGTGTGCCCATCCCTGTGCGGGGCTCTGAGGCCCATACACATACAAATAAGAGACTGTTGTTATTGTCAGAGTTCATTATCTGGAAACGTACATTAGGAAGGACCAAAAAAAAAAAAAAGAAAGAAACCACACCAAAAAATCCGGAATAATCTTCTGGAGGGCAGGCCCCTTAGAGTACAGGCTTCCCCCACTAGGTGAGTGTTCTAGGAACCCATCTATATCAGTGCACCACTGACATTGTTGTGAGCGGATGCGTTTGGCTTCAGTGACTTTTTTTTGGAGGACTCTTTCAGTGCATTTGCCCATTTCATGGTGGGTGATTTACCAGTGCACCTGCCCACACTCTGCTGAGTGTTCAGCTATTTTTGACCAAAAATGGCATGAGCACCATGCCCCACCCTCCCTATTCACCTGATCGTGCCTCAAGTAACTGTTTTCTGGTTTGTTTCCCTGATGAAAAAAGTCCTCAAAGGGAAACATTTTGCCTATATGAAAGAGGAGAAACAAAAACTGGTAGAAACACCAAAAGATAACAAAATTGATGAGTTCAAAAACTATTTTGAGCAGTGGAAAAAAAGTCTCAACAGGTGTATTGCATCAAATGGAGAGAACTTTGAAGGTGACTGAAGTTTAAACATGTAAGACTAAATACACAATTTTTTATAAATGAATTCTGTTTTGGGGGAGGTCCTCCCTAATGTGTCATAGTGCCCTAAGAATTTTGACACTTGGGTAGATGTTGAAAACACAAAATAAGGCTCTACCCCTACTCTGTTTATACAAAGCACTAAAGCACTTTTTATCTAGAAGCAATATTTCAATATAAAAGTAATATTTTCCTAAAAAGAAAGACATGATTAACAAGTAATTTTTGTTTTTATTGCATTGAAACAAGCAAATAATCTGATAGGTCAAAGGGCAATGACAGGGTTTTAATGGTGCCTCACCCCCTTCTCAGGACCCTGCTGTGTTCCCTAGAAGCATCTACTTTCAATTCCTATCTGTCTCTTTTAGAATATGCTTCTGTATTTCCATGCACACACTCCTCTCTTGAAATAGTAGTGATCAACTTTCTATCATTTGCCTCTAAAATCTGTCTCTTCCAATTCCCACCCAAATTGCCAAATTTTAGTTAAATTAGTGTCTAGCATTTACATGTTAATACTATATAAATATTGTTCTCTGATAGCTACTAGTGTACCATGACCACAATTCCTTTGGATGGGGGGCTGCAATGTTTTATTTTTCCTGGAGTTTCATGCCTTATTTTTTCTTTTGCTTACCTTTCTCTGTACCCGTGGCTAAATCTTCCCTAATTTTCACGAGGTCAAACTTATCAGGAAATCTATCATTGCTTTTGGTGGTTGTGTTTCCTTTCCTGGGGACACCTCTCCCCCAGCCCGCTGTCCTCTAGCTCCATGTCTGCTGCCCAGATGTGGACCTGTTTCCCGTCACTGTTTTCCTTGGAATTCCCTTCATCTCCATTCTGTGTTGGATGCTCTGCTTCCTGGATTCCATATCTTCTCTTTTCTTGGTTTATTTCTTTATTTCAGTCAAGGTCAATTTGGGGGGAAATTTTGCACATCTGAAATTAAGATGATTATTTTAGCATGAGAAACTAAGTGTGCACTTTGGCAATGAAATGGTTGAGTTAAAGTTGTGTTTTTGTAGTCTTTTCTTCTTTGGGGGGTGGGGGCTGAGGAAGAGGAGAACAGGAGGTTGTTTTCTGGGTTCAGTGCACAGTAACTCCTGGGAAGGTGGGAAGGTGGGAAGGTGGGAAGGTGGGAAGGTGGCTTGGTGTTATGGAAACAAGCGGTACATGTTTTGGTTAGAGGATGGAGGCAGGGGAATGGTTCTGAGTTCCTTGTAGGAGTAGGTGAGCTGAGGGGGCTGCTTTCTGATTTAGGGGGCCTTGGAGCACAGGAAGGATGATTTGGGGCCCAGGATGGTGCTGAGCTGGTTAGAGGGCCTGTTGGAAAGAGGTCAAATCACCCTGGCATGTGGAAAATCAAGTCTGTAGGAAAGTGACATCCTTGGCAGAAACACTGGATGCATAGCAACAGAGAGGCTCCTTCAGGCAATTTTGAGAGCTGTGAGCCTCACTTGAAGGCAGAAGGGAAAATAAACAACACGGAGAACTCTCCACCACAGTGACTGGGTTGGCTGTAAGCCCATGTGAAGTACTTCTGTGGACGATCCTAGAAGGATGGGGTGGGGGTGCGGGGCGATTTTACAAGATACAGGAGGCTACAGTAGTCTCCTTTTAAAGGAAAAAGATTCTGTAGACCCCTAGTACTGATTTTGATTTTTTAAGTTATAATGTCATTTAGTATGGGCTGACATAAAATCCTTAGACTTGTATGTCTTATGCAACTATAAAACAGAATTTTTTATAAATTAAATTCAAACAGCTACAAAATAAAAATTCAAATTCATAACACTAATAAAATGCAAAATAAGACATTGTTTTACTGAAACTAAGTCACTTGCACCTTGAATGTGACCCTGATGGCTCCATCTTGGATCTTTGGGGTTTGGTGTGCCCTGAGCCATGTGATGAGTAAATTCACCCACCATTTTTTTCTTTGGAAGAAACTATCAACAGCTGGCCCAGACATAACAGTTACTTATAAAATCCACATTGTTTTT